ACGTTCGTAATTTCATTGTTTCTATTCTCATATTCCTCGTTAGTCACAAACGGTTCTAGGAAAATGCTTGAGCTAAAAGTTACAATAAAAAATACGCCACGTAATATACGTAGTTTTGATTGGGAGGCGGACGTGATCACGCATTAAAGCTTTGATCTTAAAAAGAAATTATTCTACAAAGCTATGGTTTTCTTGTAATTATGAAAAGGCGCAATTGTTTCCAGTACCTATGAACACGTGTGGCGCGTGGTTACGAACACTATAAGTTTCTCAAAATATTCTCCGTTAGCGTTTATTGAACCAATTTTGAAAACATTTATGCCACTCCTCCGTGACAGTCTCTGAAACATATTTTTCATAGTCTTCAGGTGATGAAAATCGTTGACCGCGTAACTGGTTCTTAATTTTTGGAAATAAATAAAAGTCACAAGGTCAATAAAAGCCAGGTCGGGACTGTACGCGAGACGGCTCATAAGGTCAACGTTGTTCACCTTCAAAAATTCATTTGTCTGTCTGGTTATGTGAGAACTGGCATTATCGTGGTGTAAGATGATACGGCGTTTACGGTTATTTTTACGGAGTTTGTCAATAACTTCCGGCAAACAAATGGTCATGTACCAATCACTATTCACAGTACAACGATTCTCCAAAGCAACATTAGCGACGTGTCCAGTTTTATTAAAAAAAGAAGCAATCATCCGCTTCACGCGCGCCACTTTGGTTGGTTTCGGTTCATCTCGAAAAACCTGTGCGCTCGATTGCCGCTTTGTTTTGGGATCGTAACCATAAATACGTGTTTGGTCACCTGTTACTATATGCCACACCAGATTTGACGCCCCTTCGTTGAATCTGGTAAGCATGGCATTGCACCAAGTGACGCGATCCGTTGTTTGAGTCTCAGTCAAATTGTGTGGGATACACCAAGAGCACAGCTTTTTCACAGTAGTTGTATTGAGTAGTATTGATTGTATTTGACTCATGCCTATGCCTAAAGATGCCCGTATCTCATGGTATATCACATGCCTGTCTGTTTTGATCATAAGGCGCACAACATCGATGTTTTTGTTGCTCACAGCAGTAGAAGGGCGACAATCGTGAAATTCGTCACTAAGATTCACACGACCGCTTTTAAATCTGCAAACCTTTAACAAACATTTAAGTTTATTTGAAAAGTACAATCCCTAGTTTCTTGCTCGTTCTTCTCAGGGAAGTCAGCGTAGTGAACGAGCAGTAGCTTAAATGTGACGTTTTCAAGGGTAAATTTATTTTACCTGCGGAATAAATGATTATTTGACTTTGACTTTGACATGAGCTTTTCGGAGAAGGAAAACATCGTGATGAAACCTGCACATTGAAGAAGGTTCACGACCCTCGGAAAACGTGTGAAGTCCCCAACCCGCACTGCGCCCGCGTGGCGGACTATGGCCTAAACTCTCGTCTGAAAGGAGGCCCGGGCCGAGCCAGTAAGCGAAGGTGTACGCCGACGATGTGCATATGAAACGTGCAAGAGCCAAACTAGGTTAGAGTGTAGTAAATGTGATGTGGGGCTTTGTGCTCGATGTAATTATAAATTTCATACGTAATTAAAAATGTAGCTGATAATAATTGTTAAAAACTAATTTACCTTTCAATATTCCGTATAATAAATAGTACTACTATAATAAAATACTGTTCTACTTTATTGAAGTTCATATTGACGCGGTTAGAGCTTAGCGGTGCAATTTGGCATCACCCATTTTTTCAAAAACTAAGGGTTGGATTTCGATTTTGATTACAAATTTCTATAATGGACATTCACTATCAACACATATATAAAAATTATCAATTTCCACATTATGAAAAAAACTCGGGCTATAATGGGTTAAAGCAATGTAAGTAGTTACATTTATGGCTCTTGTAAGTTCAAGGACTAGTCTTTTACTTATAAAATCATCATCTTTTAATATTTTTCTATCAAATGACACGAAGTTCTGATGAATATAAGCTCAGAGCAAGGACTGGCTATCAATTATATAGACTACGGGCTCAAGTACCGGCCCCTGTGGTAGACCCTACTTAGGCACAACTAAAACTGTCTGTAACTGAATGACATTTGTAGTAGAGTATTTGTATTTGTAGAAATGTATAATATCATAACGCGTTTTAAGTGGCTGTCTACATAAAATCCGTATTGCGCACACATGTGACCTAGATTACAATAGGTGAGAAGGATACCTTACCCGCGTATTAAATGGAAGATGATCTTACAAGATTTATGACGTGTCAAGAGAAGCTTGCAGTACTCTAGAGATTTATGGTGTACTGCGAAGTTAATTTTACAGAAGATCAAAATTTATACAATATTTATTATTTGGGGTTCGATTGAATTGTAAATAAAAAAAAATGTTTACTGTCTAGGCTTCAGTTAAACGTGATCGCCTGAACCACGTCCGTGCCCGATGTCTATATTCAAAAAATACCGCCACAATAAAAGCATTCATCCCCACTTTAAGTAATTTGTCCCGTTCAAGTCTCGGTAATTTTTAAGAGGCAAACGTGCCACCATCCCAAATAATTCGGTTGAAAGATAAAAAGTACAATACTACAACTTTATTGGTGCTATCGTCGTTGTACTCTACACCTTAAGTACTAACTTTTGGAACCGCAAATATAACTTGGTGGCAGTGTGTCGTGTAAGGATATTGCCCGTGGTGTAGGAAGACGTGACAGGGGTTGTTATTGGTACCTACCTCGCTGTTACGCGGCTAACGTACTGGCTTGTCTAATTTGCTAATATAAAACTTTGACTCGGACAGGTTTTCTTAGAATTGCTTCCTTAATGTTCCATGGTAGATCACATTTCTATTTGTACCTCCTGGGATGACTGACCACGTTTCGCAAAAAAATCTTTGAATAGAACTTCGCCACCTCAATATTTTTTTTGCGAAACGTGGTCATTTAGGCAATCAATTTGTTTAGGCATCAACTGCCTAAACAAATTTAAAATAACTCGCAGATTTGCTCGATGTTCGAGGAACGTCAAGGTCACCCTCTTCAGGGCATTTTGTACGTCCTTTTATACTAGTAGTCTATGGGTGGAATCTATGTTAAAACAGCACAGCACGCTATGTGTCCAGTACAATAATGCTTTCAGGGTATTGTTGGGGCTGCGTCGGTTCTGCAGTGCATCGGGAATATTAGCTCACACGCGAGTAGATTGCTTTCATATAATCATGAGTAAACGGTGCAAATCCTTGGTGCAAAGGGTGCGGGTCAGTCGAAACACTATTCTAAAGTCATTTGCTGAACGCCTCGACTATCAAACATGAACCATTGTAATATGGTGCATCTATTGACTAAATCTGAACTAGTATTCTAATTATAAATTTATTTTAATTTTAATTTTTTTTTTTATTTTGACTTCACTTGTATCAAATCTTTATAATTGTATGATCCGTGTGTTGTCTAAATAAATTATTTGTTACTATTTAAAACATTATTCGAAAAATGTTACATACTTAGTTTACACTTAGAACAAGCATGAATAAAATCTTACTATAAATACATAGTTCACGTTTTATAAACTGCCTAAAGGCTTATAGCCCAAAAGTTTGAAACAAAGTAAAACAACTTAATCCTGTTTACTTACCGTGTAGTGTTAGTAACAGTTGCGCTTAAAGTCATGAATGATACAAGAACAAACTGTTCGAATTGCCTAATTTGTACCACATTTTGTCACGTACCCAAGTTCGTCGGAGTTGGGTTTTATTTTCGCAATGCCAGTGGAATGAAAGCGGTGGAGATGAGTTTCGGGGTCGTTTCTTGTGAGTGCGGATTTTTGAAACAAATCGCATTGCCGTCTGTCGACTTATGAGAAATTCAGATTCCGTACTAATGAAATGAGCTAATGCTCAATTATAGACCTTTTGTAATTTACAGTCACGTCATTTTATTGAAACTAAGTCGACTAGTACAGTTCATGTTCTAAGATACCTGAGTCCTAAACCATCCATTTGGTTCTGAGTAGGTCAATGTGAAAAAAGGTGTTAAACAAACGACCTTTGACTTGTGAGCCGTTAAATACATTTTAGTATGACTTTCATTAATGCATTAGAGAATGGCGTTATAAGCATTGACTTACAATTATATGGACGTCGGGTCCGCGCTGAAAAGTGTCCGAACTTATAGGGCGTTAAAATCGTATACAGAGCGTCATCCACGCTCTAGTCTTCGTTTGTTCGACTGACAGCGAAGCAAGCAAGCAAGCAAAATTAGACAGTACTGCGATGACATTACAATTTAAATTCAACGTTTTAGCTTTTTCATATTCCTTTATATGTCACTACGTTTAAATAGGTTGACTTGGTTATCTTTCGTGGTTTTTGTATTAGACTCGTCGTCCATTTATTTGTAAGTCAATGGTTATAAGAGACTTTTCAAGCCTATAATTTGATCTTTAATTAAATTACATAAATACAATTTTAAAACAATGTGCTCGAATTCCCTGTCATTTTTCTATAGAATGCATAAAAAGGCTTCGGAGAAGTGATTAGGCGCCTTATGGTATCGACTGTACAACTAGCAACAGCTACATTTTACGACTTGTGGTTGATTTAATGATGGCTGTCAAGAACAATAAACTTCCACTTTAGTCCCACTTTAGTACCACAAAACCACGAAATGAGCAATTAACTCCTATGACGAACAAAATCTTCTGCGTCCGATCTGTATATCAGTCCGAATCCAAAATATGGCAGTCCGAAGTAGTCGTAGTACTATTTATGATGGTTTACCCACTAAATTCGAATTTCGTCTTTCGAATTAGAGAACACCTTCAATTCATTAGGTATATTCGCAGATCAAAGTAACAACAGTATTATTTGTGTTAACGCTTGTGCACTGAGTACGAACTGGCAGCGGTCGGTCTGAGTTTTCTAAATATCGGACGCAGCGCACAAACACCTGAAGTTCGCAAATATCGACATATGAATAGCGACGAAGATATCAAGGTAAATACTCACCATAAAGCCCCTTTTAACCGGTGCAGGGCTATTGTGTGCGAAGCGCACCGGTGTGGTGGCACCATCAGCGCTGGCGAGAATTGCCGGGCCAGCAGTCCGCTGCGCCGGCGTCGATTGCCGACCGAACACCCACATTCTCAGGATCATATCACATCGGACTCTGCACCAAAAACGTCAATGAGTCAGCGGTGGAACATAGTACATGACTCTATAAAGGACGAAGAAAAATCACTGTACAACCATGGTATTACATGAGAAGTAAGGTAACTCTATACAAATGAAGCAGATTAGCTTGTATGTGTGCACGAAAGCGCGTGAGACGACCAGTGCTATGCAACGCGAATAGATCGCGAAACGATGCGAATGTGTGCGTCCGTACATGCCACGCGACGTGCGCGGTGGCGGGCGCGCACACATACAAGTCTTAATGTTACTTTCTATAAAGTCACCATATTTGTCTTATTATACTATGGTAGAACTCCTGCTCAACTTTAGTAAGTCCATAAGCACATATATCTAGATAACGTCAGTGAGTCATGGGTTAGACAAACAAATAGATTAGGAGAAACGTATGTTTTTACGATGTCAAATTAAACTGATTCATTTTATTGGTTCTTTACTCAACTTCAAGTTACAATGGCGAATTCGTTGGCTCAGTAGTTAGGTGGGTAAAGGTCTTGAGTTCAATTCCATACGTATAAGTTATTTTGTCTGTACTTAGGTTAAGTCAAGGCAAGTCATACTAGGAAGTAAATTAGTAGCAGTACAGCTCCTTGTGAAAGTTCGTCCAGGTAAGTACTGCCACCTTACCTATTTCTGCCGCCAAGCAGGAACGTCAGCATTACTGTGTTCCGGTTTTGAAGGGTAAGGGTGCTAGTGAAATTACAGGCACATGGGACTTGTCAACTTATGTCTCAGGGTTTTCACTGTGGGTGTGGGAGTTCCCAGGTTTGATTCCCGATAGAATTAATTTGGGAAACAAACTTTTCTAGACGGTTTCTAGTCTGGGCGTTCTGGGTGCCCCAGGAGTTTGCGTTGCTCTAGTTATCATAGTATATGGAATTCCCTAACACTAGATTAGAAACGGTTTGCTGCCATGACAAATCGATTGTGTTAGTCTCACGAACGATCACAGAATGGATTCCGGAAATTCAGTGTCCCGTCGTATCCCACGCGTGGTATCGAGCCCCAGATAAGAATTATAAAGCCTATTACTATTTATGTACTTCACTCACAAGTTCAGGATGATCGGACTATTTGTCGTTTACTTGAAACTAATCAAATACTTTTTACCTATAATTAATTTAATAGTATCATTGATAGCACAAAGTCAAAATCAAATAATCGTTTATTCAACACACGTTACACTTGAAAACGTCATTTTTTAAGATTTTGGACGTTGACAGTGGTGACTTCCTCGAGAAGAACGGGCAATAAACTCTAGGGATTGCTCTTTTGAAATAAACTTAAATTTTGTGTGGAATCTAGACTCATGTCGTCTATTTTGTATGTCGTCTAAGTAGTTTTCAATTTTGTAATATGACTTTTCAATTAAAATACTTTTAATGTAAGTTTCAAACTCAGGATATGATAATCTTAATATATTATCCGGAATCTTATTGTAAAAACGTATACAGTTCCCCATAAAACATTCGTTTACCTTAGTTAAACTAAATCGTGGTACCATGTGTTTGGACTTAGTTCTAAGCTAAATGTTATGGATAGGTATCTCCTTTCTTAATGTAATTATGTATATTTTTACGGGCATACAAAGGGATGTATCTCTTACAAACTGGACCATGTTAGATTGTTGCAATTTATAAGTGGTACCTTTGTTACAATAAATCCACATGTCACATGCTTGAAATACCACACACACATATGAAAGTCATAAAAATAATACAAAGTTCATGAAAATATCGTAAACGTCGCCGTCGTGTGAAATTTTCTAACTCTCCTATTTAAGTAACAAATTTGCGCGTGAATCGTGCTTTTGCCGATTGATGCGCAGTATCAGAAATTTTTCTCGTACATTATAAACGTTTTTGCTACAGGCTATTATTAAAGGCATGTATTTAAATGATTATTTTTAATTTGCAAAAGCAGCAGGCAAAATATCGAAACGATCATCTTTTTTAAAGATTGATCCTCTTTCTCTGAGACATAAAATAAATTAAATCAGTGGATATTTTAATCTATTATGAGCTACGCAAAAGATGTATGATTTGTATGAATTAAATTTGATAGTATTATGTTGGGCCAAATGAGTATAAAAAATAAAATTTAAATTACTTACTTTTTAAAATATTTTTCACAATTTAGATACTTTAGATAATATAAACGTTTGATTATATTTGTATTCTAATATTGTATTAATTATAATATAATTTGATATGAAAACGTTGGAAAGGCAAGCTAATTCGCTTTTGGCACTCACCGGCCGCTGCCGCGGCACGCTCGCTTCGGTCGCTCGGCTCGTGCTGCTTTTTTCATATACTAACCTAACCAAACCTAATGAATGGAAGGCGCAATCAAGCAACCAAGACTTATTAGGAGATCAGTATCAAAAGACATGATACTGGTAGAAATGTCATCAATCGTTAAAAGAAAAGACCGATAACATTGACTTACAAATAAATGGACGACGGGTCTAATACAAAAACCACGAAAAAAATATCCCAAGTCAACCTATTCGAAATTTAAATTGTTATGTCATCGCAGTATCGCGCTGTCCGTAGAACAAATGAAGACTAAAGCGGAGTGTCGCGCTCTGTATACGATTTTAGCACCTTACAAGTGCGGACACTTTTTAGCGCGGACCCGACGTCCATATAATTGTAAGTCAATGACCGATAATGAACAAAAGGGGATCAAATATTATTTTTGAATACCAAACATTAATTTAGTATCCTTAAACATAATAATAGAGTTGCCTTGAATGCAGTTCAGTAGTAATGTATCCCTAGATCAAACTAATACAGATGGAACAATTAACATATTATATGTGAAACATAAAAAAAAATTAGTTTATTTTAAAAAGTGCACATTTACTATAGGTCAATTATATATTCGAGGATCAAATAATATTTTAGCCTCCCATCATTAAATGAATGTAACAAATAATGATACTGACGTCAAATAAACGTTGACATCTATAAACCGCCTGCCGACGATGCGCGTGTGTACCAGCGGTCATTGGTAAGTGTGAGTAGTGCTCGATTACTTATCGTGTGAAATTTCGATACTGCGTGTCGATAAATATTCAATATTTTTGGTATGTTGTAGAGCAATGACGTCACTATTAAGATTTTGTATGGCCAAATAGCATTCTCATGCATTCTTTGATGAAAAAAAAAATTGAACGACGTAAAAGTGTGTAAGTGATCTATCTCACTTACAAGTGTTTAGGGCGGCACAGTACGTGATTCGCGCGAATGTGTTAATAATTTACAACTTGTTTATAAGAAAAAAAACAGACCGCAAAAGTTTGTGGAATATTTTGCCAAGTTTTATTGACATTGATTACCGAAACTGGATTCATCCCCTAGCTTACCATCCTTAGAGGTGGAATATTTTCTTCAAATTTAAATGGGACCAAAACTGAGATACAGTCTTTCCAACAAAAAAGAATCATTAAACAACTTACTCACTTAGACAAACAAAAGAAAATTAAAAGAATTAATAAATAAATAAAAAAATACAAAAAAGCAACATAAAATAAGACAAGAAGCAAAAAACAAAACTACTACGAATTGAACTGTCGTTTGTGCGGTTGTGGCGAACGCAAAAAGAATTCAGCTTATGCCACAGCCACAATTGACTGTGGCGTTGGTTTTCAATGAACCCTGAGCCGAGATGAGTGACTTATAGCTCTCTATTTGACAAGAACTCTTCTATTGAGTAGCAACTTTTAGAGGCCAGTAGGTACCAAGTTTAATTTGCTTATATATCGCACTGCTATTACAATAGTGTTGCAACTCAAAATATGTGAAATTTAATATTATATCGTTACTGAACATAAAACTTGATTCTCTGCACTTCAAAAAAAAACCGTCGTTAGAATATTGTAAGAAACAATCAAATGACATCTACTTAACTCAAAATAAGATATACTTGAGCTAGTTCAGGCCAAAATAAACCTTATTGAAAAACATGAAATTATTTTTTCCATTTTATTGTTAAACATATTTGAGAAATTATTTAAGCGTCTATAATAAACTATAACACACAAATTTTAATGATTTTTTTACGGGAAGTGAGTAATTCGTTTTTCATCGATTCTGAGAAAGTCCTCTTTTTGAGTTAATACATTAATGTATTTACAGTGCGATATGTCTATTATTTTTTTATAATATGAGTATAGTAAGTAATCTCTAAATATGCATCAAAGACTGTCCACTTGCGTGTCACTTTTCCCGACGGAACGCAGTTGGGTTGTCATGTTTATAATAAGCACTAGTACAGTTCACGCCCTATTAAGTGCCAATGCTTAGCAATACAACATGTAGAACATTTTTAGCGAATTTATCTACAGTTTTTTTTAATTTTTTTTAATTTTGTTATTTGTTGTTCAAATCTAAACTTTAATTTTGATCAACATTATGACACTAAGATTGTAAGTTTAATTTTTATACATTTAATGTTTAGTGTTTATTTTATCGGAAGTAATCGAGACGTGTCATATGGGTACTGTCATAAAATGTTGCAAAGGTAAAATCTTTAAAACGTTCAGACTGAGATTCTTACGCTTTTATCACAGTTTTTATCTACCTACTTGCGTAACTTCAGACGATGTTATTTAAGAGTGAATACAACTTCAGATGGCTTTGGTTGATTTCGCGTAACAATGAAAGTGTTGAATTAACCGCTTTGGAAAAAATATATAGTAAAACATGATTCCTAATAATATTCACGATAGAACAAACTTATCTTGAAATTTTACAAGGAAACCGCTGTATTCAATAGCTACTTAACACATAGCAATGATTTTTTAAATATCAATTGAACTAAAACGGTATTATAAGATATATATTTTTTAAATTACATTCTCTTCTGTTTTGTAATTCAATTCTGATCCCTGCCGCTCGATCAAAACAAAAAAAA